TGGGTTATTTGGTTATTTGAATAAGCATTCCTATTTGGGTCAATCGAGTTTAGTAACTCTTTGAGGCACTCACTGTCGGATGTTTTGATAATGACGAAAGCGTCATCGACATAACGAGCCCAAAACTTCGATTAATACTTGGTGAAGACCAAGAGTTCAGTCCGTGGAAGGTCCACTTCAGCAATCAGATGAGCAGAAATAATTTATAACTCTAAGCCCGGAATTTTTACTTTTCCCTCACAAATTTTAGCTGGAGGGACGCCAGCAAACCTCAATGGCGACGCAACCGACACGAACATCGCTGTCAGCTGGAAGGAGCCCCAAGTACGTCCAACGGGCGACCTGCTGTACTACGAGGTAACGGTCAGGGAAGTCGACGGTATCGAGGTTTACAAGGGCCAACATGTCGAGGGGCTAGAATGGACGGCGCAGAATTTAAAGCCTCTCAAAATGCACGAAATCGAAGTACGCAGAAGGAATAAACCGGCAGACAGAGGGGAACTAAGCGGTGGCCTTGGCGAACCAGCGCGCACGGAAGTTGAAACGTGGCCGGGTGGTAAGAACCCCTTTTCCTTCGCCCTTATAGCCATACTTGCTGGAGTCATCCGTGGGAGTGGCTTTAATCTGAATCTAACAAAAATCCCCCGTAAAAAATCAGTTATTTCTGCAAGTAGGCGGTCAGCTTTCTTGGAAGCATCCTTGCAGTCGTATCATGCTTGTTTCAATCTAGGGACGCGGTGACTTTATAGTAAATGCTGTATTACCGACATTACAAGCCTTCATTGAGAGTTCAGTGACGTGACAAATATTATTGTTCAGAACAGTAGATTGTGAGTATAAACTTTCAGCAAATTCTCCTCCGGCCATGCATTTACATGGGAGCGTTAAATTTAAACAATCGATCGATTGTCTTTCATTAAAAGCGGGAACCAATCAAAGCGCGGATTAGTACATGCCGCGAAGTGACTGTAGGTCACCCCAGATGTGGAGTCTGCACAAAATTCTTC